AAATAAAAAAAATTGTTTGGTAATAATAATCTAAAAACAGTTTTATAAATTTATGACATAAGTGATTCTTTTTTATTGGGACAAAAAGACAATGTTTATCGTTAATGAGAACAATTCTCATTTCTTGTTTCTCGCTATTTCTCTATAAAACTAAAAAAAAAAATAGGAATGGAAAAGGCTATAAATTGTTTTGGTTTTCTTGTGTTTAAAAACAAAAAAAATTAAAAATTATTTTCAAAACAAAAATTAAAAAATCATTAACCAGACAAGTTCTTTTGTTTTGAAAATATTAAAATAAAAAACAGTTTTTAAGAATAGTAAACAAACAGGATCTATATATTATGTTGTTTCTCTTTCAAAGGTTTTGTGCTTGGGGCAATACACACAATACACAAGAGGGTATGGGGCACCCATGGCCTCACCAATTACTCACACATACCCGCATATAACCATTTGTACCCATTTCAAAACAAGTGCAAATGGGTACATGCCGGTCTGGGCCACTCATTTAGCTTATAATATCCCCTTTTAAAAAAATATATTAGTAGGAACATATATTTTTATCCCATTCTAATTTAATATAAGTAACATTATTCTAAAAATTTAAATTTGTGAATAATACAAACAAAGATCAATAAATTGAACAATAAGCAAACAAAGATCAATAGTTCTAATTTCCAAATAATCTGTAACTGAAATGTAAGAAAATAAAATAAAATAAGTATATACAGGTGGGTATGGTCCACTTGGGGCATCACTCATTACCTTTACCTATTTTTTTTTCCTGACATATGATTATATAGCCACCCATATCCATTTTTCTTCCTTCATAAATGTGTACAGGTTGACTTGTTTTGCAACAAGTTAGGTGGATTTGTAGGTCTGCAGATAAAATGCACATACCCTTAGTCCTACTGGGTTTTCTTGAAAATTTTTTTAATGAGGCAACTTTAATAAGTGTTAAAATATATTATATATCCTTTTTTCTTGATTAGGATTTTATCCCATTAAGTTTTTCCTAATAAGGTTTTAATGGGACAAAATATTTGTTATGAATATCTAAGTAGGAGTATTATAAATACTATGTTATGAATGTCTTAACTCATAACTCTCAAGGTTCTTTTATTCTTAATGTCCTAATGAATGACTTAGAAAAAGTTTTTGGTAGTTAATAGCCTATACTTTCAAAGGTTATATAATATACCATTATATGTCTTTTTATATGTTAGTAACGTTAGGATAGGATTTAAATGGTTAAAACCTTATAAATAGAGATTATATCCAAAGCATATAAATATAAGTAAATAATAATTTTTCTTTATTGTTTTCTCTCTCATTTCTTGTCTTGTCTTATCTTGTTTTTCTATACTCTTCATGTTAGCTATATTTTGTAATAAACAAAAATTTATGATCCTTTTTTTTTCTCGTAAGAAAATCTATAATCCCTTGCCCATTTTAAATTAAGATATACTATTAAACTAAATTGGATAGCCTCGCCTAGCTACTTAGCTATCACATTGGGTTCTAAAATAAGTGGCCTGCCATTTATTACATATTTTATAGATACATAAATTTCAACTCGAAAAATCCTTACTTAGTTTAGTTTGTCTTTGATTTTATTATGTGGCTATTGTTTTAAATGATTAATATACATATTTTTTAACTTTGTAATACCCACACATGTTAATATATTTTATTTCAAATTTTTTAATAATATATCTTTGATAAAAATTATATAAAACTATTTTAATTGTAAATACTTATTAAGATAAATAAAAAATATTTAAGATAACAATTTTAATTTAAAAATGCCGCATTTTTTATACTTGTTCATATTTTAAAAATAAAAAACTACTTAGCATGTTGCTGTTGAAAGGAAAAATTGACTTTTTTGTGCATAGAACAAAATTAACAACTAAAATTGTCAAATATAATTCTAAGCTAAATTGTGTATGTTTTACATGACATTTTTAAAATAAGTGACATTTTACTATACACACACACATTGACATAGTCTCAAATTCACCAAAAACTTTTGTGCTAAACAATGAATTGGGATAGATCAATGGCTGCCCTCCCTATTAGTGGAAAAACTATAATTCTTTCATTAAAAAATGTAAGACATCTTTAAAGTATTGGATATTTAAAAATATAAAGTATTTTTAATCTTTTAAAATATAATGATTGCTTTTTCTTTTTTTTTCAAAAGTGTCCCTATTAAATAAATCACTTTATATTTATTTTAGGATAAACACTCTATTAAATAAAGGTAAATATAAAAATATATAATTAGTTTAAAGATAAATAACTACTTTATGAGGGATGGGATTCGGTTAAAAGTGTTTTATATTTTTGAATGGGGGAATATATTTTTTTATAGTGGCATTTGTTATAAATTTTATATATACATAAATTTCTACTAGTAAAATCATTAGAACTTATAAGAATTAGAATAGTTACTCTTAAATTAGGGATCCAAGTTACCTAACTCTTTTTTCCACAAAAGTTTTAGGTTTTGTTGCGTGTCTATTTTGGTTTAAATGATTAACATATTTTATTACTATTATTATTTTAATATATACATATAACTTAATTTATTTTAATGTTAAAAATTATAAATAAAATAATTTTGAGTAAATTGGCCTAATGGCCATAAAAAATATATTAACTAGAAATTATAGAAGAAATTTTTGAAAATTCAAGATTGTGACCCATTCACAATCTGTTTAGGGTGCAATTTTTTCTTTTTATTCTCAAAACAAATAATTTTTTTTTTAACAAAATAGCAAAATTCTCATAACGGAATGATGATAATCGTAGCCCATTTATAATCATATGTCACTTCAATATTTGAGAATACTTCACCATCAATTTAGTGGGCATAATTTATTTCATATTTGAGAATAAGAATAATATTTCAAATTTGAGGAGAATGGGTGTTTTTGTCATTTCAATTTAACTTAAATATTAATTCGGCCATATTATAAAATATTTAAAATGTTAAGCTATTATTTTTGTTTAGTCATGTTAAATGGGTTATGTGCAAAAATCTTGATGATTTTTATTTATCTTAATATTTATTTATAATTTCAATAGTTGTGTGTCTTTATATATTTATTAAAGATATTTTACTAAAAAGTTCAAAAATATATCAAAGTTTTTTATTAAAAATATTTGGTCATATTTTAAAAACATTTTGGTCAAAACATGTTTTCACCAAATCTAATATGTATGATGAAGATATTCGATGAAAAAAGAGGATTTGAAATTGAAAAAATGACAATTAAAGATTTTTTAAGAATATTAATGATAATTACATATCTTGAATTATTAAAATTTCAATAATAAACCATGATCTTTACTTGAAATAAATTATATTTTATTAATTAGCTTGAAATTCACAACAAATTTTAATAAATTCTTAATTAATACTACAAAGATTTCTAACTATCTTTTAAAAAAGTCACAAGTGATTGATTTGCAATTCACAATTGACTTTTGTAAATTTTTAATTGACGTTATAAATAATTTTAAGTGTATTTAGTAGATTTTTTAAATGATTTGTCTACATATTGAAAGTAAAAAATCCTAAATAATTGGCTTACCAACTCTGATAAAATTTCAACTAACATTATAAATAATCCAAATTATATTTACTTAATTTTTCATGTTGTTTATTTGTACATTAACAAGAAAAAAATCAAAATTCTCTACTAACTTTTATAAATTTTTAATTAATATTATAAATAGCTTGAAATGTAGTTAATAAATTTCTCAAGCGAGCATTTACATTTTTTATTTATAAGTAATGACCATAGTTTTTTTATTAAAATTTTAATAATTTAATATTTATAATTATTATTAATATTTTTACAGGTCCCTAATTATCATTTTCCTCATGAATTTGGTGAGCGGCTTAAATTTATTTACTTAATAAATATTTCAATTATAACTATTGAGCTTCATCAATATTTAAAAAATATCAATATATATGTACGAATTTGGATTCAATGACTATTTAATACAGGCATTGAGTGCTTGTATTATCTGAATTGTCCAAATTTAAATTAATGATTCAGATAAATTCATTCATTCATTAATTTCAAATGGAGTATAAATTTATAACCATTAATCTTGATTTTAATGATTCAAATGCTACAGATACTGAGTACAGTCACCAAATCTAAATTCATATATTTATTTTTAAAAATTCAAAACAACCATCACAACAATATTCGCATGTGTCCCTAATTTTTTTTTGAAATTTATTGTTTCATAACATTATATAATAAAATCTCTCACAACTATTTAATTTTTATTTGATTAAATTGTGTAATGAAATAGTAATTGAGTGAGTGGCTCCTATACTCCTCAATCCAAATCCAACAAAATCTTCCCCTTAAAAGTTGATTAAGAAAATTTGGTGAGTGCACAAATTATTAAACAAGATAATGTTTTGTTATAAAGAACAAACAAAATGAAAAAATTTGTTTGAAAATGCATTTTCAGTTATTTATTTTAAAAAGCAAAAAAAATTGTTTTGAAGAACAAAAAAAATCATATATCTTTTAAATATTTTATTACTTTTATCTTCCAAAATTTAAAAAAAGATAGAAAATATTATGCTTTTATTAATGACAATCATATTAATAAAATAAATTAGTCTTTCACCTTTTATTTTATCAATTTATATATTTTTTAATTTTGCTCAAAATAATTTATATATTTTTAAAATAATAATTTAAATAATTTCTTGCTTTTTGATTTTTAAAATTTGTTACAAAAAACTATTGCACATGATAAGATGAAAACAGAACCAAACGATTGCCTGGGCTTCTGGATATATGACAAAATTTTTGCAAAATTTACTTAGTTTTTATTTATAGGAATGCTAAAATTAATTTTGTGGTCTCACTATTATGTAATTTTACATTTTGGCCCCTCCACGCCTTTGTTTCTAGATACGTCCCTGCTTCTGCGTTGTTTTGCCGTGAAAGCTAACTTCGAGAAGCTGAAAAAACAGAAGAGTTAACTGTAAGAGAGAGAAAGGGGGAGATATTGCCCTTTGGCTTTCTTTATATTCATGAAAGAGGTTATTGCGATATCTTTCCTTGTGGCTTTCGTTTTTCCTCTCATGACGTAAAATCTCCCTTAGCTGCAGGCACGATTTCGGTGATTCCGTTCTTCTTTCTCTTTTTGAAAATCAATTTTTATATTTTTCTGGGACTTGTCTGCGCTTGGTTGTTGAAATAAAGGAATGAGAGAGAATATGAGCTGGCGGAGAGTATTGAAGTCTGTGCAAGCTCTCGCTGCCCATACCCTTCTCTTGTGTTTCACTCTTCTTCTCGTCTTCAAGCTCGATCACGTTGTCTCCTGCTCTTGGTGGTCAGTTCTTGCTCTAATCTTATCAAGTGAATTTCTACTTTGTGATTGATTTTAGCACACAGCCGATATGATTTTGATTATTTCCCCCTTTTCTATTTGTAATTTATAATATATAGAGGTTTCCTTTTGCTTAGCATGGACCTCATTTATCAGTGCCCTCCTGAACTTTTGATTATTTTATTAAGGCGTCAACAGGACCGTAGGAGAAAATTCCTAGTTCTGTATTCGTTATTGCTTGTTGAGCAGTCGATTTAATGAGATTAATCCTTTCTCAAAAGAAAGAAAATCAGATATAACGAGGTGTTCATGATTGTCCTGAATGAGTTTCTCGCATGTCAAAAATGTGTCTGAGAGAAGTATTCTTGATGGGTGGAATCGGAATTTAGTGTCTTCTCCGCCTCTCTTGCATGTTATAACTGGATTTGGTGGATTTGTACCTTCTAAATTCAAAAATTTTGAAAGAAATTTACAGGGTAAAATTGAAGATAGACGAGGCGGAGCATGCTCAAATGGGTCCCGTATATTTGAATCCTCTGATCCTCTCTCTCTCTCTTCCTCCCCCCCCCCCCCCGTTGTATCATGCGCCGTAGCTTAGAGAATCCAGATTCATGAATAATCCAAGAAAACAGAATTTTGTTAATCATTGCCTGAGTGTGGGGGTAAATTTGCGTCTTTCTGAATACTACACAACTGTATTCGACTTAAAGCTGGCAAGGCATATTCCTAAGTACCCTCGACATTTATCTGCAATAGTACAAAGTTGTAAACTGCAAATGTATAGCAATGTTTATTGATTCTGAAAACACATATCGTAAAAATGTATAGTTTCATGATAAAGGTCTTCGATGCCTATCTCTGTAAGAGAAATATACCGTATCAAATGGTTATAAGAATTAACAAGTGCTCTACAGTAATCATAGCAGTCTCGTTCATAAGTTTTGTGAATGGAGAAATCTTAGTAGTATTAATTTCTCTATTTCTTCTCCCCCAAATTAGTTGTGCGGATGGAGCATTAACTATTGTGGTTTCTTCTGTGGTTTGTGATGAAACAAAAATTCATTCGAGGTGAAGATTTTTTTTTTCCAGATTTTAAATAAAACACTTTGTTTGATTCTGTGCTGTATTATTTATCAATAAAGTACGTCTGCAATATGTACGTTTAACTCTCACCTGTTTGCAGCTTGTCTACAACTGCTTTGTTCTTCCTTTTTACTCCCTTTGCTTGATTTTCTTTTCTTGTTGGTATGATGGGAGGAATTCCGCCTATGTTTATAGCCGGTTCCAAGCCCGGGTAAAGGAAGAGGGTTGTGTTAGGCTATCAACAGCCAATGTAAAAATTTGTTAAATCTATCATGAATATGGACAATAGACATTATAGTGTTAATGCTAGGTCGTTGCCCGTAAGTAACGCGCTGCATGGCTCGAGTACAGTGATAAGTGAGTTAGAGCCGCTGCATCGGCACCCGGATGTAGTGTTAAATGAGTAAGGGCTACTGCGTCATTCTGGACGCACGCAGCTAAAGAAGTTAGTCCATAAGAGCAAAATTAAATTTGGTACTTGGAATGTTGGAACATTAAATTGTAAATCTGTAGAGGTTGTAGGGGTTATGATTCAAAGAAAAATCAATATCCTTTACTTGCAAGAAACAAAATGGCGTGGAGAAGAAGCTAAGGATATTCAAGGTTTCAAACTTTGGTATACAGGAAAAGTAAGTGCACGCAATGGAGTAGGCATCATTATAGATAAAGAGTGGAAGAAGAACGTTGTAGAGGTTAGCAGAATTGGAGACAGAATTATTTCTTTAAAAATGATAATTGGACGTGAGACTGTTAATATTGTTAGCGCTTATGCGCCGCAAGTCGGGATAGAAGCCAGTCTTAAGGAATTATTTTGGGAGGATCTGGAGGGGTTGATTCGACACATACCACAGAGTGAAAAGATTTTTATTGGAGGAGACTTTAATGGGCATGTCGGGAGGGAAGCTGGTCAGTATGCGAGGGTGCATGGTGGTTTTGGTTTTGGAGAGCTAAACAATGAAGGACAAACTCTTCTTGATTTCTTATTGGCGTATGATTTTAAGATTGCCAACACTTGTTTCAAGAAGAGAGATGAGCATCTCATCACTTACAAAAGTGGAGCTTCAAGGTCACAGATTGATTTTCTTTTGGTTAGGAACACGGATAGAAAACTTTGTAAAAATTGTAAGGTGATCTCCGGAGATGCTGTAACGACACAACATAGGGTCCTAGTCCTTGATGTGTGTATTATGAGTAAAATTCAAAAACGTCGACAAGTAGTAACACAAAGGATTAGGTGGTGGCAATTAAGAGGTGAGAAGCAAGATATTTTCAAGCGAAATCTTTTAGATAAAGGAATTTGAGATTCTCAGGGAAGTGCTAACATCATATGGGAGGATATGGCTAAAAAGATACGGGAGGTTGCAAAAGTAGTTTTGGGAGAATCGAAAGGTTCTGGTCCGAGAGATAAGGAGTCTTGGTGGTGGAATAATAGTGTACAGGACAAAATCAAGTATAAGAAGAACTGTTTTAAAGCCATACATTTGTGTAACAATGAGGAAAATTGGGAGAGGTACCGTATAGCTAAGAAGGAAACTAAGAGGGCTGTGGGTGAAGCTCGTTCTAAAGCTTTTGAAGAATTTTATAAGAACCTTGAGACGAAGGAAGGAGAGCAAAATATTTATAAGATTGCCAAGAGTAGGGAAAGAAAATCAAGAGATCTAGAACAGGTAAGGTGTATTAAGGATGAAGAGGGAAGAATTTTAGTTACAGATGATGAAATTAAAAATAGATGGGAGACTTATTTTTCTAAACTTTTCAATGATGGAGAGGATTCATCTAGTAACTTGGAGGATTTAGTAACTGGTGAAGGAGAACAAAATTTGTCATTCTATCGAATAATACGTGATAAGGAGGTAAAAGAAGCTCTTAAGAAAATGGCAAATGGTAGAGCCAACGGACCTGATTGTATATCTATCGAATCGTGGAAATGTTTAGGTGAAGAAGGGGTGAGATGGTTAACTAAGTTATTTAATGTGATTTTACGGTCCAAGAAAATGCCTGATGAGTGGAGGAGAAGTAGATTAATTCCTATTTATAAAAATAAAGGAGATATTCAGAATTGTACTAACTATAGAGGGATTAAACTCATGAGCCACCCAATGAAATTGTGGGAGAAAGTAATTGAGCACAGGTTGAGATTGGAGACAAGTATTTCTGAGAATCAATTTGGTTTTATGCCAGGTAGATCAACTACAGAGGCGATTTATCTACTAAGGGGATTAATGGAAAAGTATCGTTGTAAAGATAAAGATCTACACATGGTTTTTATTGATTTGGAAAAAGCTTATGACCGTATACCAAGAGAAGTGCTTTGGAAAGCGTTGGAAAAAAAGGGAGTACGGATTGCTTATATTAAAGCCATACAAGATATGTATGAGGGGGTAAAAACTAGTATAAGAACGCCTAGTGGTCAAACAAAGGATTTTCCTATAAAAATTGGACTACATCAAGGATCATCTCTGAGTCCTTATTTGTTCAACTTAATTTTAAATGTTTTGACAGAACATATTCAAGAGGAAATCCCGAAATGTATGCTCTTCGCGGATGATATAGTTCTTATAGTAGAGACAAGAGAAGAGGTTAATTGCAAATTTGAGTTATGGAGGAGGACATTGGAGTCGAAAGGTTTTCGTCTGAGTAGAAGTAAGACGGAATATTTATATTGTAAATTTGGTAAAGGACTATTCGAAAATAATTTGGAAGTGAAATTGGGAGATCAAATTATACCTCAAGTGAAAAAGTTTAGATATTTGGGAGCCATTATTCAAAATGATGGCGAAATCAGTGGAGATATTTCACATAGAATTCAAGGTGGGTGGTTTAATTGGAGAAAAGCTAAAGGAGTTATTTGTGACCGTAAGGTGCCTAATAAACTTAAAGGAAAGTTTTATCGCACTGCTACCAGACCGGCAATGTTATACAGTAGTGAATGCTGGGCTCTAACGGGACAGCAAGAGCATAAAGTTGGAGTAGAGAGATGAGAATGTTACGATGGATGTGCGAACATACACGTAAAGATAAAATTCGAAATGAGCACATACGCGAAAAAGTGAGGGTGGCACCTATTGAGGAAAAAATGGTAGAAAATCGGTTGAGATGGTTTGGGCATGTACAAAGAAGACTAAGGGAGGCACCAGTGAGAAGAGTGGAACATATAACTTTGAGTTCGATTAAGAGAGGTAGAGGAAGGCCTAAGAGAACACTCTTGGAAGTTGTTGAACGCGATCTCTTAATTAATAATATTCTTAAAAGCTTGATAAATGATAGAGCACAATGGCGTCTTGCAATCCATGTAGCTGACCCCACCTAGTGGGATAAAGGCTTGTTGTTGTTGTTGTTGTTGTTGGTATGATGGGAGGCAGGGGAAAGGATGTATGTCTCCATTAAAGATATGAAGATGGGTAGGGAACCTTTTGCATTGAGAAAGCACATAGTCGGTTAGTAATTCACTTAAAAGAGGAAGAAAAAGAAGAATAGGAACTTGATGAGCCAGATGATTTTTTTTTTTTTTTAAATCATGCAACAATAACATCAGCAACAACAATAAGTCTTATTCTATTAGATAGGGTTGGCTACATGAATTGAAAGATACCATTGTATTCTATCATTAACTAAGCTTTTAGAAATATTGCTAATTAAAAGGTGCCATTCAATAACTTCCATGGATATTATTTTTTAGTCTTTCTCTACCCCTTTTTACAGGGCTCAAGGCTATCTGTTCTGCTGTCCTTACCGGTGCCTCCTATGGCCTTCTCTGTGCATGGCTAAACCATCTTAAATGATTTTTTACCATCTTCCTTTCAAAAGATGTCACACTCACTTTTTCTTGTATATACTCATTTTGGATCTTATCTTTTTGTGTATGCCCGCACATTCATCATTTTCATCTTTGTTACTCTAACTCTGTGAAGTTAAGGTGATTGGTAGACCCAAACAACCAAAGAGTGTATAGGCTTTTGTTTCAATTGGCATTGAAAGTATGTCTGCTCATTGCAAGGCTACCAAAATGATCTAGTGGCATTTTAGAGTTGGTCCCACCTTTAGGTTAAGTAATTTAAAGATTCCTAAGATGGTGGGTGTTATGTTAGGTAGTATTGTATCATCTGTCAATTTTTTGTGCCTTAAACTGTCAATAATATTTGAGTTGACTGCAGAATTCAATCAAATAATCAGAACTCTACTCCTAAAATTATTTATAAAACCACACTGTTAATAACTCTAGAAACAATTTTGTGTGGGGATGATCAAGAACACTACTATGGAATTATTGGTGTTAAATTTGTTAAAATCATAGTCTTTGCAAAGGAAGAATGGAAAAAAGTGTGTAAAATCTTGTGTGGAAGCTCTGTTAATGGTTTAAATTATAGAAACTTTTACATACTAAAGAAAGAAGGCGTTATATATTGCAGGATTATTAGTTACGGAATTCAACTTTAATATTTCAGGGTAATATTTTTTCCACTATGGATGTTTCATGCTGTTGTTGCTCGGGGAAGGTTCTCATTACCTGCGCCATCAGTTCCACGTAATCGGCATGTATGTAATTGTTACCTTTATTACAAGTTCAAACTTATAAACCAGGTTTCCCCCCTTTTCTATTTATGGATATTGGGCAACGTGGCTTACAATTCATGGAGTCTAATATTGTAATTTGGCTACCTTTGTAACTTTTCAGAATGGAGTTATTAGTTCTTCCCTATCTATCTAATAATTGTATAGTGGAAAATTATTTTCTTTTCATTATTAAGAATTTAAGATTAGTATATGAGATTCTGATTTGTTATTTTGTGACAGTGGGCACCATGCCATGCCGTTGTTGCAATACCATTGCTTATTGCATTTGAATTGCTCCTTTGTATATATCTTGAGAGCTTATATGGTACGCCACCTGTCCCTGCCTCTGTTTTACATGATTGTGGATTTGATTAATTTTCACGTGTTCAGTTAGTTTCCTGTGCAAAGCGTTTTAGAAGAAATGTTAAGTTGGTATTCTATGTTCATATAGTTAGACTGATACTGAAGAATTCCTCCTGTTGAACAGTCAGCAATATACCATGTCCCAGTGTCTTAACATGAAATAATTTTGTTGTGCTAAAGGAGTTGAATGCCTGGGATGATTCTCATGCGAGATGTTTTATTACACTAAATTGATGCATTCTCTTTTGTGCAGTTCATGGTTTTGCAGCTGTCAATCTGAAGATTGTGTTCCTTCCATTGTTAACATTTGAAATCATTATTCTAATTGACAATTTCAGGTAAAATTCTTAATAATTTCCTCAATCATTAGTTAGTGACTTCTAGCTTTCCTTTTAATTTTGTGGAGAGGAGAGAAGTGGGGCTGTTTGTAGTTGTTTGAACAGCAATTTTTTTAACATGAACTGACATGTTCTATTCAGTTGTACGCATTATTGAAACTTGAGAGGATCTATGTCCATGTCCCAGACCCAAACATACGTGCTTTAGACATTGTGCAACTGTATCTGCACTGCAGTTGTGGGAAGTGTGGGCATGCAAAGAATAGGCTTGATATCCATGTCTTAGGTGTGCTTGATGCTCATGTTGACCAAGATGTAACATTGCATAATGGTGTCCATGCCTGTGTAAATTGTCTGCCTATGCTTCTCAGCAGCTGTTAGAATTCATTCTCTGCTTTGTTTAGTTTCCAATAATTGATCCACACCTTTGGGTGCGTTAGTACATGCTTTAGGTTGAAGTGACTAATACAAATCTGCCCTTTTTTAATACACGGGGTGTTATTGAATCTTCAAATGACTGATTTAGAAGCTTTTAACCCCTCAAGCCAGTTCTTCATGGCTTTATGATTCACCATAATTTATTAATGTGGGCTCATTTTCTGCACATGTTATTCAGTTAGTTGTAACCCATGTTTGTTATTTGTGCAGAATGTGTAGGGCTCTAATGCCAGGGGATGAAGAAAACATGAGTGATGAGGCAATATGGGAGACACTTCCTGTAAGGATATGTGTCAACAAATTATAAAAGAAATATGCATCACATGTGGGCCATTTTATTCTTCCTAATAGATGTCTTACTTCTATGTCATCATCCATGGTCTTAGATTTTCTAATAGCTTTATCAGATTGAAGCAGATCAGAGAAATAAAAAGAATGTTAATTTTGTTGCATTCGAGCTTGGAAACCTGTTGCCAATGATAATGTATAATTTTATTTTATCTGGGGGAAAAGTTGTGCGTGTGCTAGAATTGTTCCGACTTCTATAAAATAATTGCTTGCATCATGCATTGATCAATTAGGGAATGGTATTAATATCTTTAAGGAACATTCTTTCGGAACATGATGATCAATTCAACAGCAGTAGCATACAGATATTTTCTTGTAAAAGATTTCTGACTGTTTAATGCTTTTAATAGAAATTGCCCATCTGTTGTTGGTAGATGTGACACTTTGACAAGCATCCTCTAAAATTATATACTTTTGATTGTATTTTATTTTTGCAGTTAACATTAGTTGATAGACCTGATGTCTAGCAGGAATGTTTATTTTATCAACTTTTTATTTGTTTCCTAAATCACTTGAAATGACTTCTTGCTTGCGTCTTTATATTTTGAAAAATATTTTCTAAATGTTGGAGGGGAACTCTTGGAACTTAAGCTTTACTGGTGACCCATAGGACAATGATGTGGGTTGACTTCCCTTTTTATCCCTTACTTCTTTTGGGTCAGTAGAAATGTTCAGTGCTTTTTACTTGGTGCAATTGAGATGTTTAAATACCTTATTAATGCTCTAATCTGCAGTTTTATTTGAATGATCATGTATTTCTTGTCTAGTATCTTCGCTTTTCTGCATGCTTGTTGTTTCCATTTACTTTCATACCCCTTTCCATTTGCTTCTCTCTATAGACAGCATATTATCATATATGAATGTGCATGCATATCTTGTGCCTGGTCTAGACTAATTTTTTTCAATGCTTATGACTGATTATTATCTTACAAGTCTTTCCATGTTTATGCTTCTCATTTTGTTCTTATAATTGTCATTTATTGGATATCTTTTTTAAAGTTTTTTATGTTTGTCAATTACATTGTACATGTCATGATCTGGGTGGAGTTTATTCTTGAATTACATACTCCGTTTTTTTTTGTTAGAGAAACTATCACTTTTTATTTGTTTTTTTATATTAGCAAAGTCACCTTTTTCAATATGCATTTATTATATATTTTCTAAATTACCCCTCATATATACAGTAATGAAAAATAATCAAGGCATGCTTATATTGATCAACGTAAGGTATTTTAGTCCAATTTTTTTATTTTCAGACATAATTATTATGGTTAAACAACTTTCTTTAATTGCGTGATACAGTTTTTTTTTCTTTTATATATAAAAATAGAGGGAGTAGTTGTTAGAGATTCATTACACAGTATTAATATTTTTCATTTTTATGTTTATAGCACTTTTGGGTTGCAATCTCAATGGTCTTCTTTGTTGCCGCTACAGTCTTCACACTCTTAAAACTGTGTGGTAATTTCTTGTCTTTTTTAGTCTAGCTGATGAATTTTATTATGAATTCTGTATATTTCTGTTTTTTTATACTCCTCAATTATAACAGTGCTACATTTCAGTTTTGTGGACTTCTGTTGATAAATAAATGGGATTTGCTTTCAATTAAACGCCCATATATGAACCAAACCAAGTAAATCTATTTATCTGCACATAAACAACTAAGCAAATTTTTTTTATTTTTTCAGACATCAGTGAGTAGCATGGTCAATTTTGCATATTTTATTATATGGAAAAACTTGAAAACTATGGTCAATTTGACATTAAAAATACCATCTGGAGTACAGCCTATGCAATGAAAGTATTGTCTTGTATTCAAGCAGTGGATGATCCATTGATGCAAGGATATAAAGGGTTTTTTTTTTTTTTTTTCGGTTGAAAAGGACATGAAGATTTTTCAGCTGATACAAGTGTAGTTATTAGGAGAAATACAGAACTTGTGTCATAAATTTTGACCATTTCAGAACCTGCTATGACACATCTAAGTGGCTTATATTACTTTTTGATCTCTCTTGTTCTTATAAAAGTAAGTTCTTTTATATTCAGATACTCATCTTAATATGGGGAATTGTCATTCTTGTCTAATCCAGGTGATGTGGGTGCTCTTGGCTGGTGGGACTTGTTTATAAATTTTGGGTAGGTTTCCCGTGTTTTGTTTTGGTTGATATTCTTTGCAAATTTTGTATGATGTATTGGTTGACGTATCTTACTGCAGTATTGCCCAGTGCTTTTCCTTTCTTGTATGTACAAAGTGGTCGAATCCCATCATTCATAGAAATTCTCGCTCTAGAGAAGCCAGTGCATCTTCTAGTACGATTAGATATCTTGACTGGAATAGTGGCTTAATAGTTTCTTCAGAGGACAATCAACGTGAGGGGAGAATGTGTGGCCTACAAGACATAGGAGGTCACTTTATGAAAGTTCCAGTTATTGGATTCCAGATTCTTCTTTGTATGCGTTTAGAGGTAAGTCATTACTTTGTGTTATTGGCCAGTCATTAAGATACCATATTGAGAGGTGTTGCTTGTTTTAAATTGCAGGGAACACCTGCTAGTGCTAGACATATACCACTTCTAGTTCTCTTCTCTCCCCTTTTTGTACTGCAAGGTGCTGGGGTACTGTTTGCTGCATCTAAGTTGGTGGAGAAAATTATACTTCTGCTACGTAGTGGAGCTGGTGGAGGAATATATTTTATATTTTCTTCAAGAGCTCATGATTGCTTGGGGTTCTTGCATCATGGTTCAAGGTAATGAACTCCTACTGTTACTATCAAACATGGACAAATCCAATGTGAGTGTCCATTAGTGTAGAAAGGGAAGCTTTCCTGAAGCTGTGATCATGCAGAATTACTCATATGCATGTCATTACTGTGGCTGCTTCTAACAATTCGTAAAAGCAGGTTATTGGGTTGGTGGTCCATTGATGAAGGGAGTCGAGAAGAACAAGCACGATTGTTCCAAGAGAGGACATCTGGGTAAGATTCATTTCATTTTGTTTGTTATTTGAGGATTTGAATAGATAGGAAAAGTCTTCTATATGATTTCTGGTGTTGTACACGATACCTATATTAGAAGGAATGACTCTAACCTATAATAAGAATAATTGGACCTAAGTAAACAACTAAGGATTAGTTATTGACAGCTACACCTACTAACCCCTTTCCAATAGATAGATAGATAGAGAGAATAATAATAAATACATATTTGACCACACTTCCCCTGAAGTTGTATCATAAATATTTATCATGTCTAACTTGCTTACAAATTCTTCAAATTGCTCATGAGGAAGACTCTTCATAAAGATGCCAGCAACTTGATGCTTTGTTGGCACATATATAAGACATAATGTTGCCACCAATTTTGTCCTTAATGAAATGCCTGTCAACTTCAACATGCTTGATTCTCTCATGTTGTACAAGATTATGTGGTATGCTTATAGCAGCCTTGCTATCACTATAAAGCTTAATAGGAGTATTCACTTGGATTTCCAGCTCTTCTAGCACTTGATCTATAAACCTTCACAGATTCCATATGCAACTCCCTTATACTCAGCTTGTGTTGCTTCTTGATACAACATTTTGTTTCTTGCTCCTCTCCATGTGACAAGATTACCCTATACTTAGTTAAAATAGGTAGAAGTTGACTTCCTGTCATCATATGTCCCAACCTTTGAAATTTTGGAAGAGAAAAATATTTCTTCAATATGATCTCCTATCAACATGCACGATAAGAATGCGCTTTTTATCCCCTTCGGCCTTAACAAACATCGTATTGTCTAACACTCCCTATTTATAGCCTTTTGTCTTTTAAAACTTTTGAGAACCTGTCAAACTATGTCTTGGGAGACTGTTTCAAGCCATATAGGGATTTCTTTAACCTCGTACTTGGTTAGTTTTTTCTTTATCAGACCTAAGAGGTAGAGTCATGTAGACGACTTCTCTTAGTTCTTCATTAAGAAAATCACTCTTGATATTAAGTTGATGAAGTGACCATTCTAGGTTGGCTGCCATAGATAATAGAACTCTGATGGTATTCAGTTTTGCCATTGGTGCAAAAGTTTTGTGGGAGTCTAGACCATATGTCTTAGTGGAGCCTCTCCATATTTTCAAGTGAACCCTCTTGCTACTAGACATGCCTTTAACTTGTCAAGAGTACCATCAACCTTATATCTTGGGGTAAAGACCCATTTATAGATAACAAGTTTCTTGCCTTTAGGCCTTCTAACAATCTCTCATGTTTCGTTCTTCTTTAAAGCTTTCATTTCATCGATAATTGTGTTTCTTCATTCTGGTATTTCTAGTGTCTCTTGGATGTTGTTAGGAAAGCTAACTTTACCCAACTTGGTGATAAAGGCCTGTTATCTAGGGGAAAGAGCCTTGTAGGACACGTACTTATGTATTGAATGCAAGGGGCAAGATCGAGGCTGTTTCCCGAGAGCAATAGGTAGATCAAGATCAGTTGATTCATTTTCTTGTTTTGGAACTTCTTGCTCATTAGATGGAGTGACCTCTGGGGGTTCAGGAACAACTCAAGGTTTTTAGGCACCTGGTACTTCAGCTTCAGGAGTTACCTTTGTTGTTGATTCTCTTGGTGCTTCAGGTACCAATTGCTCGCTATGTTTTGATATTTTTTTTTTTAGTGTAAATAGACAACTCTTCTTGTTGCGGTCTTTCTGCATCTCTCCCTATTTTCCTCTATTTCTGGCATAAGAGAATGGACTGGTGATGGTGGGCCAGGATCAACTACAATAGAACAGGATTCAAGTAAGTTTGAAGTGAGATCCTTATTAGTTTCAGGAATTGTTGGATTGTTGATTCTGGTGCTTCAAATCATATAAATGGTGATATCAAATATTTCACCTTTTATACTCCTTGTACGGAGAAACTCATTGTAAAAATTGTTGATGCTACTGACTCGGTTGTTGCTGGTACTGTTAGTATTAGAATCTCTTCCACCCTAACATTACATCGTGTACTTCATGTTCCAAAATTGAAGTGTAATTTACTCTCAATGAGCCAGTAAGCAAGAGAAGAGAAAAGATAGAGCTGTAATTTGTCTCACCCGTGTTCTTTCCGGAGAACAAATAAGAGATATTCTCACCAAAGGTCTTGCTCAAGACAAGTTTGAGTATTTTATTGGCAAATTGTACATGATCAATATTTATGATCCAACTTGAGAGGAAGTGTGGAATTAATATGGCAATTATGTAAATATATTTGTAGTTATTGGTTTTAAGTAGGATAGATCAGTTTCGATTTCTTATTTCCTATTTTTCCTCCTCATTTATGGTCACATTGTATTACTTTTGTATATATTCCCCTGATTAGGATGAATAATATTATCAAGGAGTATTTCTCCCTCTTCATCACTCCAAGATTGCATAATCATAGCTATTTAGTGTTTATACAATTTGACATGGAAAATCAATGTAGTGAAAATTTTTAATCCAAAGCTGGATTGATAAAAATTACTTCCTATAATGAAATATTAAGAATGTAAAAGTGCTAAATCTTACAATGGTGTCAATTGACATCTCTTCATGTGTACATGTGTGCGCATTTACTACAATGTGATTTCTTTACTGTCTAAGTGTGCACGTTCATCTGATATCTTAGAGCAAATTTTCATTTGTTGGTAAAATTCGGCCAACAGTCTAGAAATAGTTAAAATTGTAGAAAAACAAAATCTGCCAATAGGCTTGCACGTGATTGCAATAAAGAGTTGAATCTTAGTAGTTGTCGAAAAGAAAGTTAAATCTTAGTAGAGCCTTGATGACATGGCTTTGATGATTATTGATAGTAATTGCATGATTGTAGAAACTTTGAAACTATTGGTGTTGAAGTGCATCTTGTGTTCCATTTCTCTTGGAAGTTCTGTTTTTCCATATCCACAGCAGCCGGGAGGCTTCTATTAGTTTGATACCACACCTAGTGATTTATGGCGCTTCAGATCTAAACATAAACACCATCAAACTTCAAATTTGGGCTGTGTAATTCCCTTTTTTTGTGTGTGTGTGTGTGTGGGGGGGGGGGTGGTGACTGAGATAGAAGAAAAAATTGCTTCCTCAGCTTGGTCTGTATATGAAAATAATGGCAGTCACCTGAAATCTGTCAGGTTGTTTCTAGGCCAATTCATCTGTGACTGGTGAGATCAACGTATTGGTGTTATTCTGCTTTCTAGCGTGTAAAATTTTTATTTTGAAAGTTGAATGCGCATACCTTTTTTAACTATTACATATTAAATTTGTGCTTGCGTATTTTTTGCCAAAGTATCACATTAAATGGGTCTATGATCTCCTTGTTTACCCTATTTTAATCTTAATGATGATGTACGTCTGCTATATGCTCTACCCAGCATTTGTTTCTGTTGGTCTTTATAAATTTGGTTTGCCCCTGTGCAGGTATAACACTTTCAGTGGTTATCCTCCTGATGTTGTTAAGAAAATGCCTAAAAAGGATCTTGCTGAGGAGGTGATAGTAGTTTTTGTAACATATTTGTTTATAATATTTTTGAAGATAAATTTAATCCTATGCGTAATTGTTATACAGGGGTGCTACTTGTGTAATACTTCTGCTGGTTTTACTTCTTTATGTTTTCTAGGCGTGAAACTTCACAAGAAGACAAGAAATAAGCAATTCTATTAATGGCAGTGCTCATTTTTTTCATTTCAGGTCTGGAGACTCCAGGCAGCTCTTGGGGAGCAAACAGAAATTACGAAATACAGTCAACAGGAGTTTGAAAGGCTTCAGAATGTATAACTTCCATCTCTGATGAGTACTCTGTTCCTATTTGCTTGTGTGCGGTGTACATGTTGAAAGTTTCTTGCATGATGTTTCAAGAAACTATCTGCGGGGTCACCATGTGCAATTTATGTTTACATGGCTAACGAGGGTGCAAGTCGGTCTTGTCACCTTGGATTTTATTTGATTAATTCTAAGCCTCTGCAAGCAAATTTTTTATTCATTTGCTGAAACTCTTATATAATTGTTGGTATCAGGATACAACTTTGTTTTGATGTGGGTTAAAGTTTCCTTATCATTTATAGTAAGCAGAAATGATAGTTATGTTGGCGATAAAATAAACCTTCCAATGTGCCTTGTGTAATGATATATAATCCTAATAGTTATGCCTTCTGAATGTACGATAGTTAAGTTAGCGCATTCATTTAGTCTGTGTGATGCTTGTATAATTAGTGAGGACAGTGAATGAGCTTGCACATGTGTGTGTGTAGAAACAACTGTGAGAATAAAGTCATGTAGGATATAGGAAGGGCGATGGAGATAATGGTGGGATGAAAAGAACATGGAGAGAATAGAGAATCCAGAATCCTTTGGAAGCATCAAGATTGAAAGATGGAAATGAAGATTGTATTGCATCCTTCAAATTGTATTAAATGCTTTAAATGGGTGGTATTCATGTTTGCAAATATCGTCTGGTCACATGATTCTCACTGCTCTTGGTGGTTTCTTTGCTCGAGTCTTCTTTTTAATATTCTTTATCAAGTTATGTAAATGACTCTAACCTTTCTGTTCCTATATTTGTTGTGTGGATCAGGAGAAAGTTTTGTGCAGAATTTGTTTCGAGGGGGAGATTAACATCGTATTGCTACCTTGCAGGCACCGAATCCTCTGCAGGTACTTTTAAATACATTACTGTGCCTTTTATGATTCCTAAGGGTTCGTTTAGTGTACAAAATAGAAAGAAATATGATGGAAAAAGTTATTTGAGGATAAAAAAAAATGTTTTGTCCTTCCCCTGAAGCAAGCGAAAATTGATCTTTTTATCCCTAAACTTTTCACCAGTTTGTAATTCAGTCCCTAAATTTTTACATCTTTTTTTAAGTACTCCTGGAAAGGTAATCAGGATCATAACGTTCACTTTCTCCAGCTTAATTTGGCGTTGACCCACTTCCTTAGCTAGCGAGCTCCCCAATCAACCCCATTGAACTGACTGACTTGCTTAGCACAACTGTCTGGAAAGCCAAAGACAGTTAGGTGCTTCCTATACCGGGCAGTCATGAGTGCATATTGAGAGAGATGGTAGCATATTGATAGATCCTCTTTAATGCTATACTCTGCGCGCTTATCACTCTGTATAAGAGCTTGCATAGGTGATCTTTTTTCGGGAACGGATAAAGGGATCAGATAAACTTGTCTTGCCCGGTGTCATTCTTAGGGACGGGTTCGCTAAGGGTCCAAAGCATCTGGGATCAACGTGGGAACGGCAGAAACTCTGGAGAGATTTAAAAAGAGAAAGTTTAGGACCAAATTACAAACCAGTGTAAAGTTCAGTGATAAAAAGAGTAGTTCTCCCTTGGAAGTAATTAAAAAGGATAGAATCTGTTAAAAATGAATATAAAAGCATAGTAGATTTAAAAAAAAGAAAGAAAGAAAAAGAAAAGGAATATCATTTCAAAGGTTGTACCAAATGGGCTTGCATTAAACTTTGTTCTTATGCTTGATCGTGATGACCTGCAGCGCTTGCTCTGAGAAGTGTAAGAGGTGCCCAGTTTGCCGGGTCTCGATTGAGGAGTTATTACCTGTATATGATGTTTAGGTCTTAACTTGGCTAACTTTTTGTTCAAGACGGTGGAAGAAAGGGCCCTAAAGAAAGTATTAAGGAGTTTGACGGAATGAGTATGTGGTATGGTTTCGGCAAGTGTTTCTCTAAGTTAACAATTAAGAGACGCAAGGAGAAATCACCATACAGATGATGCTTTGGAATTTTATTTTACCCCGTCTTTAACTTGTATATATAAATTGCTGTACTAATGCGATTGGTGACGATGGAGTTGTAGCTTTTTGTGGTCGGATGAATAGTTTGGTTAGTTTATTTTGTTATACAACAACGAACAATCTGGTGTCCAATTGCGGATTCTTACTTGTATATAATTTTAATCTAGATTTGAGTATCTATAGATTCAAATGAGAAATAGCTTTTCCCATTTATAATGAAGGAGGCTTCTTTTTTAATCGCATTCAATGAAAAAAAAAAAATGGTTCTTGTCATGAAAAGAACATATTTGCATTTATGCTTTAAGATTAAATTGTAAAAATATAGAAACTGTTGAATGATGATCAAAAGATATAGGTGGACAAAGTAAATTATAATGCAATGATACTTTGAAAAATAAATGTATCCCACGTCATATACAAGACGCGATGTAAGATGCAATATGTATTGTGCGGACTAGGGTTTTAAAAATGGGTCAAAAGTTATTTTTGTTCTCGAGCTTGTCACCCACTTCCATAAGTGTCATGAACTTAATTTGAGAGAAGTGGTGAAAAAGAGTTAGTTAAAATATAAATTATTTTCAAGGATCAACTGCATTTGAAGGATCATTTTAAATAAAATATTCATAAAATAATTTAACCAAATGATTGAAATGCCCTCCTCTATGAGATGATTTCAAGTGAGATGATTTTTGACGAAATGATTTTTGGTGTAAGAAGTGAGTTGTGACTTGGACTCTTTATCTCCTTGTGTGCGACTATGCATAATCATCATTGTATAACTCTTTTCTTAGAGGACTTTGACTCCTCTGTTTGCATGCTCATCGATTACTAAGTTGTGCAATTGTGCGTTCATGTCTATGGAGGGTAATTTGTGACGAGAGAGAAGTAACTTCAAGCAATGTGAGAGGCAATTTCTGACAAAGATTTCCTCTCTTCTTCTGCAAGATTTACTTCTCCCATTATCTCCTGTTTGTCCAGAAACTAGGCATATATTTCCTAGCTTGAACTTTTTAGTCGATTCAAATTAGAGTATTTAATTGTTGCTAATTTGGCGATAAGTTTGATGCCAAATTTGGCGATATACTTGGTTTCCTATAAATTCTTGTAAATAATTTCTATTTAGTCAATTCCCAAACTCTTTGCTTCAACATTGAAAGCTTTGATGCCAAATTTGGCGGTACACTTGGTTTTCTGTAAATTCTTTTGCTATTGGTTATTATAGGAGAAGTTGTAGGATTTATCTGCTAGGGACTAATTGAGAGGAAAAGGGATATGAAATAAATGTATAATGAATAACTATGCACTTACTCATTTGCCACCTTTTAATTCCCGATAGGTTTCCCTTTCATATGAAATAGAGCTTGCAGGTATTCTTCTTAGAATTTCTTATTGTTACAGGCTCATGTGTTTCATTTTGTCTTGACATAAACAATTCTTCTCTTTTGATGGGCATTGACTTTCACTTAAGTGCTTTCCTTTCTCATTTATTGGTTAATGGTTACCTCTTGAATGTATTAATTAAGTTGAGAAATGATAAAAGTTACTATATGAACCTAGAGTTACAAATTTGCAAGTATGATTCAAAGGTTCAAATTTCTCTAACCCAAAACTATATTTTCTGACTGGGGGCTCCTTTAAATGCCCAAATGCAATGTTGAACTGAACTTTTTGAATTTGAATCATCAAACAGTAAGTAAAAAATAATGGGAAATTGATTTGTAAATCCTGAATGTTAAACACTAAATGTGGTTAGCATCCATAAGTTCGATGAAGAAATTTATGCCCTTTATAATTTCATAACAAAATTTTAATGTATTTCTCTTCTCATTTATGTTTTTGTTTCAGTTTACCCAATCATATTTCTGACTACATTTTAGCTATATCTTGTTTGGTCCTTAGGACAAATGGGTTGCATTCTTTAAATGATCAAAAATCCACTAGAAGAAGCCACTTTGCTATGCCAAATCCTTGGTATATACTTAACTATGTGTCTGTAACTCTATACTTCATAATGCATTATCTCTCTGTTTGTAGGTATGCAATATTAGCCATTTTTGAGGGTACGTATAAGGAATGCCTAATACTTGTGATCCCAATCGAAGTATAGCAATGAAGGTGAGTATAATATCATGCGGTGTGAATTTTTCATTTCATTTTCCTTTTTATTAGGTTCTTGTGTACCTTCTTGATGGTTATATTTTTAATTTTTTTCTAGCATATTAGTTCATCCTCTTTCATTTTGAGATCATTATCTTATTGTTTTGTGTCATAATCATTTTTGTTGGTATTCAATCATCATATGCTCATGTTTGTAATTGACATAAAAGCCTTTTGAATAAGGTTCAGTGGCTAAATAAAATTATGGTAATGCAGAATTTTTGGTTGAGTACATTATGAGAACCAATAATAAGACAACATACAAATGGTCATGGCATATTCTAAAATTTGCTAACTAATGAATTAAAGATGGTACTTATTATATAATAGCTGTTATACAATTTGTCATTTTGGTGCCAAAAATGGAAGTGATATAAGTATAATTCAAAGTTTATAGGAGTTTGGCCATTATGTAATCTGTTAAAGACTGAGTTTAGTTATTCAATGATTATTTATGTAGATAGAGCAAGGAAGGTAGGGATGATTGCTGGAATTTTATCAACTATAGATATTTTCCTTTATTAATTTCTCAATTTCCAAATAATCTCCTAAAAGATTCAACAAAAATGGTTGCAACATTGTATGTGATAGATTTAACAGATGTAGCATTATATATGATGGTAGACACAATGTATGGTAATTGTTGTGTTAATAAAGTTTTCATATAATTGTTTATAATCATCATGAAATCTAGAGTCACTATCATGAGCATGCACTATGTATTGACTTAGATAGCAAGCTTGGCTTTTGGTTATTCATTTTATTTTGGATAAACATTATATACCTAAATATAGCATGGCATGAATGGCTTATTTCTGATGGCTACTAATTTTTATTTCAAGCATAATATTTTAGATGCACTGAGGCATAAGGTTTTGTTTGAAGATGAGAAAAAATAAGTTTAAGTCAAGAAACTCTTGCAAATTCAACTCATGCATATCATAAATCAAGTAAGCTATAAGGAAATGCTAATTAAGGGATTGCCTTAAAAGATTGCATGAAATTGTGATTGTACTTTGAAGTGTACTTATAACCATCTCCCTTATTTGTTTTTTTTTTTTTTGCATAGGTTAGGATGTAGTTTAACATGGGCATAATGTTATTCTTAACCCCTATAGTATATTTTTTAATATAGAGTATCCTATGGTCTTTATTTATCATTTTCATTGTATTTGATAGAAAGATAAATCAAACCTAATGGAATTAATATTCTTTCATTGAAGTTATTGTTGTTCATTCTCACTCTTTACATTCACTTGTTTTTTCGGAATAATTCATTTGTTCTCAATGTTACGTTATTGAATCTGCATCTTTTTCTGGTTAACATAGCTTGCTATATGATGTATAATACTTAAAAAAGAGAGAACTTATTATGAGTGTTCCCTTATTTATTTTTTGTATAGAGTATGATATAATTTAACATAGGCATGATATTGTTTTTACTCCCTATAATATATTTTTTGATTTGGGGTACCAAAACTAGAGGATGCAAGGATTTTGACTTAGGATATAAAGGTTTTGGCTTAGGTGCAAGGGATTTAGTTTAGGGTGCAAAGCTTTGGGCTTAGTCATTTTCATGTAATTCAAAGGCACTGATAGTGGTATGCTCTCTCTATGTTCGATTTATATGAAATTTGCTAGATATTACATGTAAATCATTCCTTAGTCATACTCGTGAGTTTTTTCACATATTAATTTACATGTAATCCATAGTTGTTTTTATGTAATTTTAGGTGATTAACAAGGGTGTGCTCTCTATGTGTTTGATTTACATGTAATCTTGTAGAGATTACATGTAAATTATTCCTCAGATATGGTTGCAAATTTTTTCCTACGTTGATTTACATGTAATCAATGATAGTTTACATGTGAATCCAAGGCATTAACAGGGGCATCTTCTCTATGTGATTGATATACATGTAATTTGCTAGAGATTATGTGTAAACTATTCCTTAGGCATGCTTGTGAATTTTTCCCAACATTGATTTAAATGTAATCAATGGTAGTTTACATGTAAATTCAAGGCACAAACAGGGGCGTACTCTTTATGTATTTGATTTACATGTAATTTGCAAGAGATTACATTAAATTATTCCTCAAGCATGCTCCCAAATTTTTTTCCCATATTGATTTACATATAATCCATAGTCATTTTCATGTAATTCTAGAAGATAGAAAGGAGTGTGCTTTTTATGTATTTGATTTACATGTAATCCACAAGATATTACGTGTAATTGTTCAAGCTAGAAGTCTTGTACCTTAAGCCAGATCTCTTGCACCATAAGCCAGATCTCTTACACCCACACCAGAAACCTTACACCTAATTCAAATTTGTTGTACCCAAGCCATAATCCTTGCACCTTATGTAACATCCTTAACTTTAAATCAAGATTAATTAAGTTTAGATAGACTAATTAAATGGATTTGTGAGGTGTGTGGCTAGAAAGGCCTAACGGGCATGTTTGGTCTCCATTTCATTTTTAAATGGGAGTTTGAAGGAGAATCAGGTCACCCAAGAATGGAAGAAGGAGAATTTCTAAAGGAACCGATTCTGTGCCATGCGTTGCAGCCTGTGGTTGGTCCACTATGGTGCATGCATGACAACACGCTTGGAAGAGGCTCTCTGTGCCATGTGCTGCGGCACATTATATGTTCCCCACAGTGCATGGTCAAAATTTTATAGTATTAAGTCTCGAACCTGAAGTAGAAGAGAAGAGGAAGTAAAGGGAACCGAGAGAGAGATGAAAGAGCTAAGCTAAAGCTTCAAAAAACTAATTATTGGGAGTAAATTGGAGTTCATAAACACCAAAGGTAAGCTTTCTTGCTTAAATCTCCCTCTCTTCTTCCATTTTCTTGATGGTAGAGGTTAAGGTTTGATTGTTAATAGTGATTTTCAGTTTATAGAAGTTATGAGTCCGAACCCATTGACTTAAATAGAGTTAATGGGAGTAGATTGAGCTAAGTAAACTTAGTAATTATGGTTTTATGATAATTGATAGTTGGAGGACATTAAGTGTCTGAAATTCTCATAAATTAAGTAGTTGGGAATAATATAGTTGCATTAATACCCATTTAAGAGCTCAATGTTACTAATGAGAGTTAAAGGAAGCTAAGAAGCCTTATGAATAATTTTATATGAGTCAAGAATAAATCTTGAGTGTTAAGAAATGATGAAATGTTAGTGAAAAATAGCTCAAAAATGGATATTGATATTTTGCAATGGTAAATGCTTGCAGTGTAATTACCATTGGCACCATTCAAGCTTCTTGAAAGCTTCGAAAGTGAGTAGTTAATGGGTGAAATCTTTAACCTCTCAAAGATTTGAGGTAACCGAGGAAATTCTATCTTATGCTTGTGTGTGTTATTAGTTTATTGATTTATGATTTATCATTAAAATGTGTAAAATAAAAAGAAATGCAAGTGTGGCTTAATTTGTTAGGAAATTCACTAGATCAAATCTGTGAGTTTTATGCCTTGTGATGTAAAATTTCCTTGAGAACAATAATGGTAAATTTTCATATTAATGTTTATTAGGAGTTCAATGATTTTACAAATTGAGAAGTAATATGAATCTTTGTTTAAGAGAAGTTCAACGATGTTTTAAAATAGTAGAGTTCAATGATTTTGAAAGTGTAAAGTACAATGATTGTAAAGTTAGAGTTCAACAACTTATTTGTTTTGAAGTTTCATGAAATGTGATTAAGAAGTTCAATGATTATATAATGATGAAGTTCAATGAAAATTGATATATGAAGTTCTATGAACTATATATGTGCGAGTTATGGCATGAATGTGCATGGCATGATCTTAAAAGGCGAGAGTTCGCCTAGGAAATGGAGTAGATACTGAAATCCACGTGGTAAGGCCCATCCGTGTAATGATTTTCCTGGATTAATTCTATCCATATTGTCCCACTTGTTCAACAAGGGACTCAAACCTAGCTAGCTATTTGCCAGTTCAATAAGGAGGTTAGTCTAGGGTGTATGATACTCTATGGTCTGAGAAATGGGAAAAACTGTGATCCATAAGTGAGTTGGGTGCCTCTTGGTCGGGTAGTCCCCTCACAAGTGTTTAGACTAGGGAAGTCAAGGAATATAGACTATCCTATTGAGCTTTAGCCCACGGTTTTGTGTTAGAGGAATAAGGAGGATATAAGGGAGGTGTGATCATACATATAGTAAGTAAAGGCAGTTGTTGTTTATATTGAGTCCATGATGATGACATTTTGAGTTGAGACTTAATTTCTGCCAATATGTTTGTCAATAATTTTTGTGACCACCTTCTTTATTTTAAAAATGCTAAAAAGCATTATTTCCCAAGTAAATGCTATTATGTGAGCAGAATTACGACTACCTAATTTCAATTATTTCATATGGGTTAAAGTATTAATATTAACTGCCACTTGCATTTAAACTAATTAACATGCATTAGTATGGGTTAGTCGGATCTTAGTTACTGAGTAGTTGTACTTATCCCATCATCTTCAATATTACAGGGAATAGCTCAAGAGGTGTGGATAGAGAAAAATAACTAGAGGTTTAGGATCGCAATCCTTTGTAGTATGCCATCTTATTTTGAGTAAACTTATGTGTATGACAATTTCAATTGCCAACTAGGATTTCTCTTTTGTTACTTACTTATGTTATGTGAAATGTAAATTGTAATGATATTTTGGGCCCTAAAGAAGTAGTTGATGATTATGTGTTATGGTGATAGAGCCAAAATACTAATGCAAGTAAGGGTAGAGAATATTATGCAATAATCTAAGAAAACTTGATGAAAATTGTGATAAATTTTCCCTCTCTATGTTTTGGAGTTTAAGGGGTTAAGTAGTGAAAATTTGATATGAAAATATTCCTTGTATTATGGTGCATAGCACGAGTTAGTTTTGATGATTTGTATGTGGTCATATTGGTGTTGGTGGCTATTGGTCCTTGTTATTTAGTTTGGACACTTGA